TCAGTTCCAGTGCTAGTAGAGCAGATAAACTGTCATTATCCCAAAATATTCCAGAAGAGTCCTATACAGTTGCACAATGTAAGGGAAGTAATATGAGCTATGAGGCTAAAAAATTCAGAATACTGTAATGAACAGTGATAAAGCCAATGAAAATTTAAAAAATGTGTATGAAAAGAAAAGACCCTCAATAAAAATCTAAGAAATACAAGGAGTAAAGATATTCACCAACCTTTATATTAAACACTTAATTATAAGGAAAAATTATTTAGCACTCATACAAGTTATACATATGTGATTAAGGCACAGAAAGACCATCAGACAAGTAGGCAGTAAGGAAGACTAAACTTGCAAGTGAAATAAGTACGTCCTATACAGTTGCACAATGTAAGGGAAGTAATATGAGCTATGAGGCTAAAAAATTCAGAATACTGTAATGAACAGTGATAAAGCCAATGAAAATTTAAAAAATGTGTATGAAAAGAAAAGACCCTCAATAAAAATCTAAGAAATACAAGGAGTAAAGATATTCACCAACCTTTATATTAAACACTTAATTATAAGGAAAAATTATTTAGCACTCATACAAGTTATACATATGTGATTAAGGCACAGAAAGACCATCAGACAAGTAGGCAGTAAGGAAGACTAAACTTGCAAGTGAAATAAGTACGTGGAGTTAAAGAAAGGTCAAACTTGCACATATACGTTACCATACTGCAGAAACCTCTCATGTCTCTAGACGAAATTAGGGGTTACCTGCCAACTTTATAATGAAAGCAACAAAATAGTAAGCAATAAAGCAGAGAATAATACCTCGTAAGGAGCTTTCCTGGTACTGACAGCATCATTTTCATTAAATATAGGAATAACCTTCAGAGATGCCAAAGTCTTTACAGTCTCATTAAGTTGTCTCCTAAATTCCAGATCTCTAAAATCATTGTCAGTAACTAAAAGCTGTGCTGATGACATATCCAACTGCATATGAGAAACAAAATCATCATGATCCTGTGATATGCATAAAAATAATACTTCCAATAAAAAATATTTATTTCTTTTGAACTACCACAAGGCAGGGAACTAGTCAGACTAATAATCAAGACAAGGTACCTACATTGTGATTTTACCTGGCTGAACAAAGTATCATAGAGAGCCATGAGACCATTCTGTCCAACAGCCGCACAAGCCTTCCCATCAAGTTCCATCTGTGGTTTCTGGAGGTCAGCAAAGCTGCAGAAAACCCATATTCACCAATATTAGTAACTCTGAAACTGAAGAAAATTCGACATTATTCAGTGAAGGTTCCATGATATATATTCTTCATTGGAGCTTCCAGAGGTGCAATAGAATGAAAGCAAGCTGCAAGCTTTATCAAATAATTTGGCAGCATGTGTATATTAATACTTAATAAACAGTTAATGTCTACGGGCAACTGTCAAACTGGGCACGCAGATTAGTAAATAAACAAATGAATATTCCTTGGTTTGTAAAGATTCCATCATATTTTTTCTCAAGTTTCCAAAATAAACTTCAAACAGCAAAGCAACGCCAAAACCTGCTGTTGATCAATCTCCTGTATCTAAGGCGTTGGCGGCCAACACCAACAGCACCTGATGTCACCAAAATAACCTCATATCCCTGAGAATTTAGTTCTTGAATCTGCACTTCAATTGGAATTCAACAGTGTAAGCGTTGATAAATGTCAGTTGATGCATTAACTAGACATGAAAGAAAGTAAACAGAAAATGATCCTTCAACTCACCTGCTCACATAGTGCTCCTAATCTTCCAAGTGCTAATCTACCATCAGTTCGCGTGACCACAGCAGTTCCAACCTTCAAAAAGGTTAAGATTAATTATCAACGCCAAAACTAGGATCTCAAGGTAAAGGATACACAAGCAGGCCGAACTAAACTAAAAGAAAAGGTGTGATGGAAGAAATAAATGCCATTATTAGGCCATAACAAAGCAGACTAGCCATAATTTTATAATTCTAAACTAAAAGCTTCTACAGGAACAAATATTTTGATTAGAAAAAGAAACTGTCTGTTTTAGCATTAACATCTCATCTCCTTCTCACAACCCTACCTCTCCAATTCTTTATTTAAAATCTCTCACTTACGACAGAAATTAAACATTTTAGGCCAACAAGAGTTTGCAATTTTTCGTATGAAACTTGAATATAAAAATACTTGTATGTCAAAGTTCAAAAGCTTACTCGAGAAACTGGTCTACATTTCAATCAATGTCTGAATGTATTAGAAGTACGAATTATCCTCCCTTGGAAGTTATCATCTACTGATCCACTAAATAATGTAGGGGTTCAAAACATTAAAAACAAAAACAAGAAAATTGAAAATGTTCTATTTTTTTTTTTTATTTTTTTTTTTCAACGTTAAAAGATTCAGTGCAAATAATATTCTACGATGGTAAAGTCCTGACAAAGCTATAAATTACTGATTCACATTCCTAGTACACAGTCCTTCAAAGGGTGCACCTTTCTCTACATAATTTGGGAACTGAAATTCATTACAATTCAAGATTACAAACCAATGTAAACCTTACCTGTAATTTCCCAATTCAAGGAAATTATCATAAACAAATGAAATTAATCGCTCTTACATTTGAACTAATGGAAAACTGAACTTTGAATACAAATGTACTCCGAATATAGCAAAATAAAAGAGAATTTAAAAAAAAAAAAAAAAAG